CACACACACACACAGACACACAGACACACACACACACACACACACACACACACACACACACACACACACAACTTGCCCTAAGTTAAACTAACATAAAATAGTAAAGCCAAAAAGTTTAATTTGCCAGGTGCTGGTAGCCCACGCCCATTATACTAGCTACTCAGTCAAGAGTCAGCATGGGCAAATAGTTCATGAGACCCCATCACGAAAAAACCCTTCACAAAAAAGGGCTGGCAGAGTGGCTCAAGGTGTAGGCCCTGAGTTCAAACCCCAATACCAAAAAGAAAAAATTTACCTGCCACATTGCTGTATAATCAAAGAAAAAAACTGATGCATTTAAGAACTATAATGCAGTTCATATAATATACACCAAAGTAATTGACACTAAATTTTTTTGGGGGGTGGGGCTAGGGTCTGAACTCAGAGCTCTGCACTTGCAAAGCAAGCACTCTCCCACTTGAACCACACCTCCAGTCCATTTGCTTTGGTTAGGAGATGGGGTCTCAAGAACTATCTCCCTAGGCTGGCCTCAAACCACAATCCTTCTGATCCCAGCCTACCAAGTAGTTAGGTCTATAAGCATGAGCCACCAGCACCCAGCTGACACCGAATCTATCTTGTGTATATACACACACACAAAAAAAAATTCAATAATTCATAAAAAATACCACAATATTATCTTCAGGTAGGTTATCCTATTTTTAGAACTCAGGCCACTGAAACCTAATACTCCAAATAGTCATTCCAGTGACAAAACGACAGACACTTTGGGTTTTCTTGCTGGGGTGTGGGTGTATGTGTGTGTGTCTGTGGTACTGGGATTTGAACTCAGGGTCCTGTACATGCTAAGCAGGTACTCTACCACTTGAACCATTCCACCAGCCCATTGTTTTTATTTATGAAGCTTTGAACTTACTGGTCCTAAACAAGATTAGGTAGGACATTCAGACCATACCAGATTTCTGTAAGGATACCTAGTTTTCTTTTCTAAAGTGCTGTGGTAACTGGGAAGGGGGCTGATGGGGAAAGACAATGGGGGAAATGTAAATAACGTACAATGTAAGTCTGAATGGAATTGTCACTTTCAACTCCTGCCACTTATAATGAATATATCCCAACAAAAAATTTTATAA